GGATCCCACAAATGAGGGCCAGTGACACTGCCCTCTACAGCTAAGATGCTGAACAACAGCTCAACCTGGAGCTGGGCTGCCATGAGTCGCCGGCAACGGCATAGGCTGCAGCCCCTGTGGCAGTGGGTTGCCATGGGCTACTGTATGTAGCCAGCAGCCAGCGTGAGCGGCCAGCAGCCGCAGTGAGCAGCCGTCCAGAAGCCAGCGACTGATCTGCCTCGCCCGGGAAGAGGGCAATGATGGTGCCAACTTGGGCCAGTGAAGCAACGTCCTCCACAACTAGACTGAAGAACAAAAAAAAGCAACTTGTCTGTTCCCTTCCCCCAATTCCCCAATAAAAATCTTAAAAAAAAAAAAAGAAAAAAAGAAGTTTAATTAGCCAGAATTGGTTTCTGTTGCTTCCAAGCAAAATAGCCTTATTACATTACATATAACTTATTGCATAATAATTATTATGTAAATGGGTTTGGTGTTGAAATAAATTTAAAAATAAAAAATACATTTAAAAAGTTGCTTGAGGGAGACTTTTGTGGAGAATACAGTTTGAGAACTGCTGTTGCACAACATGCCAGTGGAGGTGCAGGGTCGTGTGGAGTTTAGAGCAAGAGCTGAGCGGAAGGGGTGAACTTGGATGACGTCAGCAAATGGAAGGCACTGGGAATAAATGCCATCCAGGACATGTACAGTGTAAAGAGAGAAAAGGTTGAGGACAGAACTCCAGGGAACATCAACACTTAAAGGACAGCTGAAAGAAAGGAGTCCACAGAGACTGAGAAGAGGGCGCCAGAGAAATGGGAGAAACAACTAGGAGAGAGTGCTGTCAGGGATGCCAAAAAAATAGGCTGTTTTAGGAAGGAGGGCATGGCCAACAGTGTCAAATGTTGCAGAGACTGCAAAGAGTCGAATTGATTTAGCAACACAAAAGTACTAGAGAACAATCTCATTGTTGAGGGTTGATTAAATGGCAAATATAAAAGTGAAAAGATGGTTGCTCACAACTTTTTCAGAAAATTTGGGTCTGCCAGGACAAAAACAGGGTAGTACTAGAAAGGGATGAGAGAACTGAGTTTTAGAAAGCCATGGCCTACTGGGTTTACAGTGTTTTACCATTATTTTCAGAGGCATTCATCCATATCTAAAGACCAAAATAGACAGTTACTGGGATGCTGAACTGGCTGCCTTGCTCCTCTCTTGCCCATGATTATCAGTTCCCCAAACTGATTAGAGACTATTTTTGAGTTAATCTATTATGGAGGTTGTTGGAGGGTCCCGACAGGAAGCAGGATTACATAGAGGGAAGGGTAGTGATAAGTGTTTGAACTTGTTACCATTTATACCAAGTGAGAAAGGAGTTAACCATACCTCTCTCTCCTGTCCTGGTGACAGTAGTTTTATTTCTCCTCGTGCTGTTCTTGTCCACCCTCTTGCTCTGTGGAGAACCTGGACCCACCTCGTTGCAACCAAGGTAGTTGCAGTGTCTGCTAAACCTGTTCCTAGCCCTCCCACCCAGCCCCTTTCCTCCTGTTTTTTCACCCAGACTTCTTCCAAACAATCTGTTGTATCTGGGGCACAATGTATTCATTCCCAAATGGTCATCCCTAAGGGCCAATGGGGCTCTTCTTTGGAGGGTGGTTTTAATTTGGGTCCCACATCCCAATTCTGACCACACGCATAGAACAATGTTTGGCAAACTAAGGTCTGTGAGCAAAATTCAGCTCATCGTCTGTTTTTATGTGGCCTGAGGACTGGGAACGGTTTTTACATTTTTAAATGGTTAAAAAAAAAGCAAAAGAATTATATTTCGTGACTCACGAATATTATATGAAATTTAAATGTCATTGTCCACAAGTAAGAATAAGGTTAGGAACAAAACTCCAGGGGACACTAACATTTAAAAAGTAACTGAAAGAAAGTAGTATAGGAAGGAGGCTGAGAAGGAGATGCCTAAGAAGTGGACAGAAAAGCTAGGAGCGGGCTGGGAGTGCAGCCATGCTCTGTTGTTTACATGTTGCCTATGGCTGTTCCTGGCTAGGCTGAGTACTCAGGACAGAGTGGCCCACAAAGCCTAGAATATTTGCTATCTGGTCCTTCACAGCAAAAGTTTGCTGACACCCTGGATGGCTGTGTGCCATATGTCTCCCCCTCTAGTCCCGGTGATGTCACAGACTTCTATTTTCCTTGGAGCCTGAATCTTCCCACCGCAGGAACTACTGATGGGTTAGTCCATAAAGGGGAAGGCCATTGGGAAAATGTTCTGTTTTTTAGTGTGTAACACAAGGATTTCCAAACCCTACTCTAACCCTGCCCCTCCTCACCACACACACACACACACACACACACACACACATGCACACTAGCTTTAGAATATCCAGGAGGTTATGGGGTTGTTTTTGTTTGGGGCTGTTATTGCTATTATATGTTTTTCAAAAGGGAGTATGGATTTTGAAAGTCTCAGAAACATGGATGGACCATATTCACATAGATTAACTTCTAAGATTACTTTATTGCCACATTAGTTCTTTCTCACTGTGTCTTACCCCACCCCTTCTGTCTTTCTCTTTTTCTTTTCTATCAAACTTGCAGCATATACACTGACAGTTTCTTCCTCACCTCCCACTTACTGCTCAGCCCACCTCAATCTGGAGTCGACTCCACTACAACACTGAAGCTGCTCTCAGTAACGCTATCAGCCGTCTCAAGATTACCAAATGGAAGGACACTTTCCAGTCCTTCCTTGACTTCTGGGTAGCACCTGATAATGCTGACCTTCATGGAGTACCGCTGTTTCTCGGAATCTGCTTCTTCCTCATTCTTTCAGCTCTGGATACTCCTGGTGCCACCAGATTCTTACACATCAGTGTATTTCAGCGTACTGGTTATCATCTAGGGCCTATACTGTGTTTTGGAAAGCTCAGCCTAGGAGTCTGCAAGGTGTGTACTTCCCAGTCTTCCTGGCCAGCTTCCTATTAGATTCCCTTGATAGGAGGCAGGAGATCAGAAGGCAAGAGAAACCGAGAAGCTTCCTGCTTTAGTTTCTAACAGAGTGGCCATTGCTGGTAGCTATAGCAGCAGCAAGGACTGGGTAATTCTGGACTCTAGCCTCTTGCGCACAGGAAGTGCCTTCTCAATGATCCAGACTTGATGGTGATGGCACCTTTTCAGTAGACCCAGAGCTGACTTTGACAGTGTCCCTCACAGGGCACCAGCAGCTACAGCTGGTAGGCATGGATCCCAGCTCAGGGGCGATAGCATCTTCTGATTTCCAAGTATTCCTTTCCTATTTGCACCTCCAGCCATTCTCTTTTTCCCTTTTGCACTTCTTGCCTTTTTAACACCTTTGTAACGAATTCTCTATATTAAACTCTCTCAATCTGAAATACCTCGAGTGGCTATATGTTCCTGACTGGATCCTGGATCCTGACCGGTATGAGGTTTGAATTCATGCAGACGTTATGTCCTTGTGTCACTTCCCGCTCATTTTTGCACGGTTCATTTGGGTGGCCTTATCCACCACCTCTGCTTCAACATTTGTGCTGGTGACTCTCAAATGAAGGCTCTTCAGCGCATAGCTGATATCCATACCCATGTACCTCACGCCTCCCCCCTGGCTGTTCCACAGGCATCTCGAATTCAATAAGGACAAAACTAAATTCATTCTCTTCTTCATCAAACCTGCTCCTATGGCATACTTTTCTATTTCAAGTCAGTCCATCACCCAACCACCCAATCGAGAAACCTGGGTGTTATCCCTGACCCCGCCATTCACCTTCCCACTTCTAATCAGTAGCCGAGCCCTTTAGATTTTACTTCCTAATTATCTCAATATTCGATTCCCTCCACCTCCTCTGTTCATGACTTAATTCAGATCTTAACATTTCTCACCTAAATTATTACTGTATTATTATATAAGGGCAGTGTGTGTGTGCGCGCACACACAACTTTTTATTCGATGTCATATATCACAGACTCTTGACCAGCAGTTTTGCCTCAATTCTTTCTACGCTCCAGTTCATTGTTTGAAATACCAGAACAATTCTTTTAAAATGTTGAAATGATTGTGCATTCCTCAGCTTTAATATCTCCATCATCTGCTAAGTAAAAGCCAGACCCTCCTTGTGGCATAACAGGGCTTATGCTCCCTGGTTCTTGCCAGAGCTGCTAGTCCCTCTTGACACTTCCCACCCACTCCCCATGACCGAACAGGGACACATGAGCAGTCTCCACGACATTCACATCCAACTTCACAGAGGTCTCCAAAGGAATGGTCTTTGATTTTTACAAATTTGCCTGTCCCTTGACTTGGAATGCTTTTCTCTTCCCTCATGTTCTGCTGGTCAAGTTGTTTTTCCTTCAGTACTCTTAGAAGCCTTTCTGATTATGTCTCACCTATTCCTTCATTTCATAGAATTACTACTTCCAAAACACTTGGCACATTCTTATGTGAATACATTACATTGTTGTGTATTTATTCATTGACCCCTCCCCCCACTAGACTTGAAGCTCTTGGAAGGCAGGAATATGCCTTATTCGTCTTTGGATTTCCAGTACTGGGCCCAATACTTAGCACTTAATAAATTTTCACTATATTTCTGTAGAACGAATTAGAGCTAATGCCTGAAGCACAATAGCTCTCTGAGAAAGAGGAGGGGGCCAGGAGGGAGGAAGCGAGTGGGAAGAGCCCTGGGGGTTGCTGTGGGAATAGGCGCTTCTCCACCGCAGCCTTCTGGCACTGGGTGGCGCTGCTCTGAAGAACCTGTGAGTTAGATTACAGGCTGAGGCTGATGGCCTGATACTAAACAGGAATCCCCACCAGGAGGCAGACATTCCTCCACGCCTTCCCAGCCCAGTTACACACTTCACTCTGGCCCGGTCAAAGAGCTTTCTTCAGAAGGTTGCGGGCCCCAGGCCTCTCTCCCCAGCGACTGATGATGTTAAACCCTTCACTTCTGTGATTGGCTGATACAAAAAGGCAAGGACTCTATTGGAAGTGAGCTGGCCAAACGTGACCTGGGAGGAAGTTTGGGGACCTGGGTCAGCAGGTTGGCAGCTCCTGGCCCACTGTGTGGGTGAAGCTATGGTTCATGAGCAGAGCCAGGGAGCTGCGCTGCTGTGGCTGCTGCACCTTCTGTGGCTGCTGCCCCACTCGTGGACCGCCTTTCAAGGTATGACAGCACTTCCTTTTTACTTCTATTCTGAGGGGCAGGAGCCTAGGGAGCCAACCCAGAGCATGTAAAGAATAGACGTGGCTAGAAAAGACAGTCTGGGGGGATATAATCAATGTTGTAAATATGTTTTAGGGGGCCAGTGGACTCATGCCTTGTTAGGGAGACCACTTCATAGACGGTGTAGAGGCCTGATCGCCGCACTGTATATCTGAAGCTGATGTTGAATAATATTGTACGTCAACTATAATTTTATATACATATAGACGTGGGATGTGGAGTATAGTGTGGGAATGGAGTCAATGGAATTGTAATAGATGTGTATGATATCGGGGCAGGGCAGTGGATAAGGGGAGGGGGTTGTCAGTTTGTGAGGGGTGAAAAGGATAACTAGTGCATTGTTTTGTACATCTGAAACTAATTTAAAAAAAGGAAAAAAAAAGAGCCCTGTGCTTTGTAAGTGGTGGGAAGTACTGTGAGATAGTGGAAACTAGAAGAATTGGGGAAAGGAGCTACTATGGATGGATGGCAAGCGATGTCAGCGGTGCTTTATATGTTTCCTTTAAGAATCTCTTGAAGCAGAGATTAATATATCCATTTTACAAACGAAGAAAATGAGTCTCAGGGTTTAAGCAACTTGTGCAGGTTCACATAGTTGGAAAGCGGTAGAGCTGGAATTTGAACACAGCAAATATTATTTCTACTGTTCTACTCAAGAGTCTACTTTGCACTCTGTCATCAGCTCACCTTGTGATTCTCTAATTGTCTCTTATCTCTATTTGTCCTTAATTTCCTTCTCTGAAAAGGATGGAGCAGAATGGAAGAATAATCTGGAAAAGCCCTCTTACTCTAAATGTCTATAATTCTAGGTATTACGTATTGGGTGAAATGTTTCCTACTGGTTAGAGGAATTCCTACCTGAAGTTTCAAAGGACAGGGATTATTTCTTGCAGCTACGGGGTCACTTCCCCCGTTCCTCTCAAAGGCAGGAAAGTTGAAGGAGGAGAGACATTTTCAGAGAGGCCTGATGCCAATGAAGTGGCTGAAAAGAAGCCAGGAGACTGGTTTTTCAGTTTACCATGTGTGTCTGGGTGTAGGAGGAACAGTGTCATCTATAGCTTGGGGAGGCCGTGACCAATCCTTTGCCCTCCATTCTAAGACTGGGGAACTCATCCAGGCCCTTCGCAAGTCAATATAGCGGCTTTCTATGAATTAGACAAAGGCCTCCCCTTTGGGAGGATGCAGCCCTGTGCCAGGATACATGGCTTGGTGGTGGGCAGAGTGCCAGCAAGATTTCAGCCTCCAACTACCCCCTTGGCTGGGTGCCTTTGTGTAGTGCACAGACACACAACCAACACTGTGACTCTGAATCTGTCACTTTAGACAGTAGACCCTTTTTGCTTTTTACAACTTTAGACAGTTAGCCTTTTTATAGGCAGAGGTAGTTTGGAGAGATATCGTAATTTCTTTTTCACCCCAATGGGTGGGAGAGCCTTTGCAGCAGGCCTGGCTATTTTCTAAGCTAAAGAGGAAGAGGAGGCTCCCACCTCCCTGAACTTTACCCTGTCTCCTTTGCAGCTCCTACTCCGGGATGGCGGGATGATCTGCAGAACCACACGTTCCTGCACACGATGTTCTGTCAGAATGCGAGTCCCAGCGTGGGACTTTCTGAGGCCTATGATGGGGACCAGCTTTTCTCCTTCGACTTTTCCCAGAACACTCGAGTGCCTCGCCTCCCTGAATTTGCCGACTGGGCTCAGAAGTCTGGAGATACTCCCAACATTTTATTTGACAAAGGATTCTGCCAAGCCATGATCCAGGAAATAGGCCCACAACTTGAAGGGCAAATCCCAGTATCTAGAGGTCAGGGGTTTTTCAGGGGTGGGGGTGAGGGCTGCATTCTTAACCTCATTAATCTACACAATGAATTATTCCCCTTCAACAGCTCCCTAAGGTGCCTCTTGGTTTTCCCCTAGGACCTTGAGTTTTCTGCCAGCCATGGGCTGCACTCTGTTTTTGTTGTGTGGCAGAAGACAAGTGCCTAGGATGTGAGGCAGTCAAAGCTATTTGTTAAACTTGATGAATTCAGCAGGGAACAATTGATGCCCACTGAATACTAGTGCTTGTGTTACTATACTCAGCAAGATAGAACAGGAGAATGGGAGCATCTGATGATGTGCCTGTGTTTTAATGAGAAGACAGTGTGTGGTTAGATGCCACTGTGAGGTCTGGACAGGAAGTGTTGCATGAAATCAGGATGGATGGGTCCAGAGTGGCCTGGCCCTTGCCCTGCCTCTTGGTCCAGCTCTGGTTCTTGCCTAGAAGAAGACTCCCTTAGAGCCCCATCACCTCCCTCATCTCTCCCCTCAAAGCCCATCCCCACTGCCTCTGCCTCTGCCAACCCCTCTGTATGCCACGTCCTCTCCAAACACTGGGGTGACATCTAAACCAGTCCTTTCTTTCCCTCACTCTTCAATCCCCCCACTAGGGTTTCCTGTCGCTGAGGTGTTCACGCTGAAGCCCCTGGAGTTCGGCAAGCCCAACACGCTGGTGTGTTATGTCAGCAATCTCTTCCCGCCCGCACTGACGGTGAACTGGCAGTATTATTCAGCCCCTGTGGAAGGAGCCGGGCCCACTTTTGTCTCAGCCGTTGATGGACTCAGCTTCCAGGCCTTTTCTTACTTAAACTTCACACCGGCACCCTCTGACCTTTTCACCTGCACGGTGACTCATGAAATTGACAGCTACACAGCAATTGCCTATTGGGGTGAGACCCTTCTCCCTGGAAGTCTGGTTCATTTGGGGACAAAAAGGGATAGACCCATGGGAGGGCCTTCTTTCTCTGCTTGGACCCTGTTTAGTCCATTCTGAGCTTGTTTAGTCACTCTGAGCCAACCTCAACCTTCCATGCCTCCCTTGTCTCCCAGACACCCACGTCATTCCCCTGGGTGGGGAGCTCACCAACCATTCTCCAGGCAGACTTGCTTCCCTTTTTCTCCAGTTCCCCAGAATGCGCTGCCCTCAGATCTTCTGGAGAATGTGCTGTGTGGTGTGGCCTTCGGCCTGGGGGTGCTGGGCATCATTGTTGGCTTGGTCCTCATCATCTACTTCCAAAGACCTTGCTCGAGTGGTATGTCAGGGCATCTGGAGGGGCTCGGCGGCATCGCAGCCATGCGGTGGGCGTGTGTGGGCATGCCAGGATTACCCTGCGGCATGGGGAGGACTTACAGTGATCCTCAGGTCCTTGAGTGGGGAGGCCTGTGTTGGGCACCATGGGGCATCCTCCTCATTGGGGTCCCAGTTACACACAGTGATGGGTCACAGGAATGGCTTGAGTGGGACAGGTGATATGGGGAACAGTAGGAGGAGTGCTTGGAGATGATTTGGGGACAAGGAGAGATCAGCTTCTGCAGGGCGTGCTGCAAGTAAGGAGGGGCCTTTGGGAGGAGTGGGATCCCCCTAATGCTTTCCCCCATCCTTTGTCCTCAGACTGATTCTTCCTGACCAGAGTCTGATGCCAGCAACTTCGGCCATCCTAGCAGGGGGTACTCAGCTTTCTCACATCATGCCCAGGATCGCTCCTTCCCAGGGCAGAAGGCCTTGGGATGGCCCCAGTGTGTGTGTGTGTGTGTGTGTGTGTGTGTGTGTGTGTGTGTGTATACAGGTTTCTCAGCTGGGGGCTCTACTGTCCCCGGGCTTGCATCCAGGGGAACCCAGAGAGGTCTTCCTATCATTACCCACTTTAGGATAATAAACCTCATTACTTCATACTGGTGTGGCTTCTTTTTTAACTCATGATATTTGTTTCTGGATATCTCGACTTGAGTGGGTTGTCATTTCAAATTCAACATGCCTTAACCTGAACACAGCTTGCCCTCATCAGGGAGGGAAATGGGAAAACCCCAACCCCTCAGCTGCCTCCTGTCCCCTGGTCTCAGCACCACACCGTGGCTTTACTCCTATGGCTTTATACAAAATATGTGAGAAATGAAGGCAGGGCCCCTTTCTGAAAATCTGCTCCCAAAATGGTGGCGGGAGATGCTTGTGGGTGTTTCTTGCACTTTACTGTTGGTGAAAATGTTTATGTGTAGCATAGGCTGCCCTGAGAAATACATAACCCCTTGCAACCTTCACCAGGGGAAACAGGAGCTCAGGACTGGGGAAAATAAGCCATCAGATGCGATTCTAACTTCACCATATCGGTTCTGTGAAACAGTATAAGCAAACCCCGCAAGTGAAGTTTGAGCAGCCTGGAAGGGTCCAGAATTCACGTGTCCTCCCAGATGGTCTGTTCTTTGGCTTGAGTGGATTGTCCCAGGAGAACTGACGGTGCTATTCTGGGTGGATAGTGGGGGCAGGTAGCTCGTGACTACTGGGGGGTAAATTACTTTGCTTCTTTCTTTAGGGTCTGGGAGTTGCTTTAGAGGAGGAGGTGGCATTAGGTTAAGAGTGAAACTATTTTCGTATTGGTAAGGGTGTCTCATTGTACTAGAATCTAAGAGAAAATACTCAGTTCTTTCCAGGAGTTGGTACCACTCTGAACCACCTCATTTCTGAGAGCAGCATGTATACAGGAATGTGTATGGGCTAGGGAACCAGGCTGCTGGGAATTTAAATTGTGATGTTAAATTTTGGCTGTGTACCCATGGGCAAGTTTACTTAACCTCTCTGTGCCTTATCATTTCCCATAAAAGGATGCCAATAACAATAGTGCCTACCTTAATAGGGTTGTTGTGAAACTTAAATAAGTTATTAGCTATAGAATGCTTAGATCAGTGTTTGGCTCATAGAGAATGTGCTCAATAACTTAGCAAGGATATTCACGGGAACTTAGCAGCAGCATTGACTTATTTCTCTTTTCTGGAACCTACTTTGAATCTACCCTCAATTACTGTATTTTCTCCCTTTGAGATATTTTT